CAGAGACCAGCTTCATTGTGTGTCCTTTCCTGTCTCACCTCTCTACATCTTTACCATGTGCCTGACATCATTTTTAAAATAAATTGTTATACATATTTTTTTCCCCTCAGTGTCTGCTACTGGGAAAATCTGAACTAAGTAAAATACCCTGTTTCCATTTCCCCAGTAGAAGTGAATTTTAAAGGCATATTTTATTACTAGTAGGATATATTGAGGAGAGGCTGATGATGGCATATTTGTGTCATATATACACATATTGATAGGTATGAACCTAACCAAACCATTATGCTATTTAAGAGTCCTTAGATTTTGAGATTCATACTTATTTTTTATGAATAAAAACAATAGCAGTAAATGACTATTTATGTAGTCATACAATGAGATGCCCTGGGATAGTGAATTAATGAATTAATTTCAGATGTATGCAACATACAAATATCAAAAAGGTAACACAAAGTGAAAAAGAGTGAAAAAGGCCAACTTTACTAGTATTACAGAAATAAAAAGTTGAAAGTCTAACAATAAGGTGTTTAGGAACAAAAACAACACGCTGTAAAACTCAAAGAATAACAGAGGCTAAGGCCGACCATGGTGGCCTAGCAGCGACAATGCTCTGTGGTGTGGAGGCCATGGAATGTCCTGGGTTCATGTTCCGAGGTCTCCTTGAGGTCTGCTGTTTGTGTCTGGCTCATGTGCAAGTCCCCATGATCTTTGCTGGCTGAGGCTGGGGGCAAAGTGTGGTAGGAAGACCCTGTTGGGGGTGCCCGTTTCTCTCTCCCTCTCTCATGAAAGAAATACAGAAATACGCCTTTTTAAAAAAGAAGTAATAAACAGAAAATTCAGGATAATGGTGACTTCTAGGGGGAATCAGGGAGCATGGGATCAGGCTGGGGTCTCTTGGGAACTTTTACAGCATCACCAATACTCCTTTCCTTAAATGAGGTAGTAAGATGCATTTATTCATTCTCATGGTTCTTTATACTTAACACATTTTTATTAATATTATTTTTTAATTGTTAAATATTAAGGAAAAGACATTCAATAGGGCAATGAAGGATGATATTTTGATGGTGTCGTTATTATAGATATCACTGAAACAAGAATTAAAGAGAATATTTTTTGAGAGATTTTCACTGTAGGGCGCGTGTGCTCGCCAGACAGACAGAGAGAGACATAGAGACAGAAAGCGAGAAATCACCCCCAGGGGGGATGGTCACGCCGCAATCCCTTCTCCCCCATTCGCCTCTCGGGATCTTGGGCACGCACGCACATGCGCCCGGCGTGAGTTTTAAGCCACCGGGTCCGGGACACGAACCGCGGTCGACTATGTGGGAATCCAGCGACATAGCCATTACGCTAACTGCTGGTTCCCAAGAGAATATTTTTTAAACAATGGAATTTAAAATAAAGGAACGATAAGTAATAAGCTAACTTGTTTCTAGACAACTTAGCATTTCAGTAATTACTGGTATTATTGTCCCTCTGACTCTAAGTGGAGTAGTACAACATGCAATAAAGTAACAATGCTATTCTTGTAATGGTAAAGTCTGTTTTATTTATAACCCCCAAATGCAAATTGAATGACTGTAAACATTATTTCTGACTGGTTATTCATTCAATTCAATGAATTTGATTTAGAACAAATCAGTGGATCCAAGGGAGAGCAGGAAATCAACAACAGGCCCTGCCCCTTGTGAACACCACTTTGAAATCCTCTCTCTCTCTTCCTCAGCAGTCCTCCCATTCCATGTCATGGTCATCACCTCAGCTTTGTTTGAGTGTCCACGTCATAGGTTCCACTTTGGATGCCCACACCAGAGTTCTGAAAACAAAATACAGAGATGAATTCAGAACAGGTATTGGTTTTATAATAAATTTAAGGATGCGGAAGGGACAGTGCACAGTGTCTTTCATCAACTGTTGGCATGAATGGAGAAGCCTTTAAAGATGGACTCCACTCAAGTCAGGTCTTGAATGCCCCAAGCAGACCTTATATAAAGCCAGTGTTTCAATAAATCCTGCTGGAACTGCTCAAAGTGTTCTCAGAGACTCTGTTTAACTATTTTTTTCTCTGGCCTCCCTGGTTTGAACATTGATTCTCTACCTTCATCTGCACCTGTGGACTAAATATTCTGCAAGATGGTCTATATGATTTGAGGTCTCTCCCTTTGGCTCTTTTCTCAAATGCTTCTTACAGTGTCTCTTAAAAAAATATTTTTTTTTTGGAGAAGGTTTTGCCATAGGGCATGTGTGCTTGCCAGAAAGACAGAGAGACAGAGAGACAGAAATCACTCCCCAGGGGGGTTGGCCACACCACAATCCCTTCTCCTTCATTCTCCTCTTGGGATCTTGGGCACACATGCACACATGCCCAATGTGAGTTTAAGCCACCAGGTCTGGGACTCAAACCGCAATCGATTCCATGGTAGTCCAGTGACATAATCATTATGCCATCTGCTGGTCCCATCCCAGACTGCCCCTTAAATGTTAGAACATGGAAAAGTCTCATCCACCATTAAACTCCATTGGGCCTCCACACTCCCAGACTTGGCCTGGCATGTGGACTCTTGCTTAGGTGGAAAAGGAGTTCAGAGACTACCTGAGTTGTGATCTTCCAGCATGTTGAGCCCCTGGGCCAATTTGTTTAAAGAGAAAGGGATAAGGTCCTTCCATCCAAGGCAATCCTCTGATTTAAGAATGAAGGGGCAAGCTGAGAAGAACCCTGAAGACAGAAAGTGTAATACATTTTTATTTTACCTGCAAAGACATTTTCTCATAAATGACAAATAGTTGAGATACTCACCTAGGGAATTATTTCTCAAAGCTCCCTCTCAAAAAAAAAAAAAAGAGAAAAGAAGAAGAAAATGAAAGATGCATTGCCTTTCCCTGAAAAGTACTCCTCAGCCACTCTTGAGCTCAGGAAGAACAAACAAAACAACAAAATATTTTCGGTCTTCAGCACCTCTACAGTGAGGGCCTTCTCCTCCCCTACAAGAATATACTTCACACTTTCTGCTTTACTTTAAACCTTGAGAAGAGTGTAATCTCGGGATTCTCTAGCTGGTTGCCTGTCTATTTCCTCCAGCAGACTTCAGCTTCCATTAAAGTGAGATCAGTCTTTTTTGCATTTCCCAGCACTAGTATAGTTATTCATTAAGTGACATTTGAACAAATAAAAATGAACATGGTTTATACAACCTTTTCCTGGTTCAAGAGTAACAGGAGGCTATTCGATCTTTGAATGTACCCATTCCACTTTGTAAAGAACTAGATTAACAACATTAGGGCTATTGAATCCAGGCATTATGAGGACACAAATAGTATTTGTCAACATGAAAAAGTACCACCGCATACGGGAAGAGAAGAGGAGGGGGGATGAAGAGGATGAAGATTAAGAAGCAGAAGGTCTGGGTGACTCTGCCCACTGGGAGGAGCTCTTTACTGTCTCCCTCATGAGCTGTGTGACATCCGGAGAGTAGATCCCAAAGCCAGAAAATGCCCTAGTCTGCCCTCTGCCATTCACGCCTATGTCCTTGGACAAATCACTTTTATTCTTTGAGTCTTAGTGCTCGGTAGGAAATGGAGACAGTAATACTTGTGCTTTCCAATTCAGAACTATTTATGAGGACCAAATAAAACTGTTTTACAAGCTATGCAGTGTGGCCTAAGTTTTAGCTGCAGCTCCTCTACAGCTGCTCAGGAAGGAAGCCCAGCTGATGCAGGGCCTTCCTTAGTGATGCTTTCACCTCCTTATTCCTGAGGCTGTAGATCAGGGGGTTCAGCATGGGCGTGACCAGGTTATTCAAGACCTGAACAGTCGCGTTGAGCCAGGGCCTGGGGGTGGGCTGCAGGTAGATGAG